AATATGAAGATAAATGGGAAAACAAGAATGAAAAACAATGGCAAGTCTGAAAACTGCCGAGCATTTCCAATATAAGCCAATATATGACTGTACAGTATATAAACATTTGTCGATGCAATGTTCATCCTGACCCCTTTAAACCCCCAACATAGCAAAAAGGTGGTGCATATGTATTTTTATCTACATGACATCGACAACTTAGATGCACCAGTCAGTCTCAGCCGAATCCAAACCCTTCATTGGCTTCATGAATTGCAAGCAGAAGTCTCTCCTCCAGATGTTCTTTAGAAGGATACTCCGGTAAATCCAATTGATTGAAGCTGCAGTAATCACGCAAATAGAAATGAAAACAATTGCAAATTATAACCAAATCAAACATATAACATAGAAAAACAATATATGTTCACAAATGACAGGAGCATCAACCACAATTATTTGGGGAACGATATCTTTTCAGATAAATATATAGAGGTGTTCAAAAGATTACCAAGTATGGGCGGAAGGCAAATGATCAGGACTGCCATATGCTTTGTGTATCTGAAACCTTTGTGAGCCTGAAATTCCTTGAAGTGCATTGAAGCCATCTAAAGGCACCTGTATAATTTAACAAGTGCAGTTTCTTAGACCACTAATAGAACAAACAGTTTATCTCTATACCAATCAGAAGTTACTTGTACTAGTGATTCAAACAAATGGTATACATAAAGGAACGAGGAACATGCCATGGGCACGCTTGTGATTTAACAAGGGCAGGATTTCCCATCAAACTATACCACATTTGTTTAACCTAACTTTGAAATAGACAGCCTTTGGATTGCATTAGAGTGTGTGACAATTAATTGTGGTAAATTAGTGTTAGCAACTAGTTTCAGATGTATTGTTGACAATAAATCTTTTCCAGGAGACACAAACCATCTGGCATGGAATCCATTTATTTAGCAAGACATGTTTCCCATGCATGAAATGTGTTGTTTTGATGCACATAATGATTATCCTCTGATAAAGTTTAAGGAAGAATTTGGACATTCCACACACAGCTAGCAATTTATACACCAACCAATACTCTCAAAAAACATGTTTACAACTACTGAAACAAGAGATTTACAAGCTAGAAATTCAAGTATTGAGTTACCTTTGAGGTTCCAGTTACAAATTGCAGAAGGCGAGCTTTATCCTCCTTGCTGAAACCTCGAACAACCTCCCAAAACCACTGTATGAGAGGAGATGCAGCACTGTAACCAGAGTACTCGGTATTTGCCCTCAAGTCATCAACTGGTAAAACATGATTAAGAAGAACTATTAGGCCTTTGGGTAAAAAATAAAAGGCCATTTATTATTTTGATGTAAGGACCTAAGTAAGTCAATCACATCAGTAAAAAAATTGGCACATAAACCAGTTTAAGAAACTTACAATCTATATCTGGAAGTCCACTTATCAGCAACTCCAGCTCCTTGTCATTAAAAATAGATATTAATTCCCTAGGAATTAACTCATTGAATCCTTCCAAAAACGCATTTATTTGAGGACGAATAGCAGTTGTCAGCCGATGTTCAGCAACTAAATCAACATACTGGTGTTTATTCTCCTCAGTTACTTTAATGCTTCGACCACCAGGTATCAGCTCATAGTCAGTTACCTATGCATTTGTAGAACATAATTAAGACCTAAGAACATATTTTCTAGAAGAAAAGATTAAGAAATGATTTTAAGGAAATAATTACCTGCGTCCTTTCATACAATATAAGCTTCTCCTCATCCGCATCAATGCTAAAAGTAAGGCCCAAAACATCACTATTATCATTCTGGGCCCACACCAAAAAAAAAAATTAAAAATTAAAAAAAGCTAGTCACCAAAAATAGCCATGTTACTCCATCTAATGCACTCTCAAAAATCTGTAATGAAGTGAAATGACATACCTCAAGCATCCACTTCACGCTTTTAAAGTAATCAGGATCGATTGCTTCAATGTCATGATATGTAACTTTGACCCCCAAGATATGCTTGTAGAATGATCGAGTAAAGTGGACATCCAAGAGTTGCCCATCAAAAAGTGCTTTACCAACCTGGAAAGGAAATAATTATCAAGGGAACAAAGAGCAGGAAATGAATGTTCTGTTAAAGCGGATGATACTTACAACTCGTCCAACAAACTTGAAGTATGAAAGATGTTCCGTTTGATAAACAGAGTTGGGATTAGGCTGGAAGGTTGACTCATTGCCCACAGTTGTAAAAAGTAATGCTCCTTTGTCAAAGATAACCCTGGATAACAGCTGATACCATTCCCTTGTAAGTCCACCTGCATCGATACCTTCCTCTCCTTGGAAATTAACAGTTAACCTTCCCTTCAAATCTTGAGTTGATCTCATCCGCAACTGGTTATAAGAATCTTCAAGTATGTAAGCTCTTCTCACAGAAATTCTCAGGGGACTGTGATGATGATCATGCTGATGCTTAATTTTTGACCTGAAGTAAGCACGTTTATTATCAAACTCAACGAAGCGGGGAACTTTCAGCATCAGTGAAAATGACTTCTCTAGCAACACAGGATTTTGACGGATGAATGCATTTAGCAGCTTCCTATGCTTCTCTGAGAACCTAACAAAGGCAGCATGCTTTTCATCAACTTTTGAAATAGGACCAGCAGTTTTCTGCTGGCTAGCTGATGCACTGGAATCTTGAGCATCAGAAATGGCAGGCATGCCTAAATCATGACAAGAACCCGGTTGTGCAGGATGTAACTTCTCACACATCACAAAGAAAGATTCTATATATGGTAAGATATTTTGAGTTCCAGCAGGAAGGGGTGGTGTTACACTAGATTGTCTTGATGTGGGAGTCTGAGATGAAGTTAACAAATCAGGTGTAGAATCTGAAAAACTCTCTATTTTGCTTATGCAGGTACTCAACTCCAGCCACAAAGGCTCCAAAGCAGCATTGATGTCCCACACCTGAGAAAGAGCAGCAGAACGCTCATTCTCAGGAAGCACCTGCAAGTCCTTATCTTTCTCAGTTAATGAGGCAACAAGAGAGCTTAGAGCCTGTAGGACCCTCAAAATTGCAGCTCCATCAGAAGACGTTGTACTCAAGAGTGCTTTCACTGCTTCACCAAACAAGTGTAACTCATCCATAGCAGATTTAATCAAATTTTGTACAGCATCAGCTAGCTCGGTGATAAAGAGATGACAATGTCTTGGAGCAATGGCCACCAACTTCTTCATTACCTCTGCCACAAGGCTATATGCACTATCTGACAAGCTGTGCAGAAAAATAGCATTAGACCAAAGATACCAAAACCAATAAAGTTCAGTTCAGTTAACTGAACACATTCTGTTCATCAAATGGACAAAAACTACGGATGCAGCAAGAAAAGAAAGCAGACATTCTTTAACAAGAGCTTACCCTTCCCGTCCAAGCAACGAGCATAGAAGTCGAAGTTCAGTCTGTGGCAGGTTAATTAGCACATTTTGAGCATCACCTTCATCCTCTGCACTAGATGATGAAGGTTTGGAAAGATCAACAATTTTAGATGAAGCAGCAATCTCAGAATGAGCATGATGATTTTCAACATTTTCCAATGTTGAAATTTGAGGATTTGGCGTTTGCTTGGTAGGAGAGGCCCCAGATGTTTCAGATGCAATGGGCTTGCTTTCCACATTGTCGATAATAACCTCCAACAAGTTAAGCAGCTGAAACAGGAACTAAAATTAGTATCACGTAGATTAAAAATATGGAAATGTCTTCAATAATTAACTTGAAAGGCCAACAAAATATAATATGCCAGGTTTACCTGTTCGAGATGTGCTATGCTTCTCAAGTACAAGGGTTGATTCAAGAGGCTCAAAAGCAAGGACATGGACATGCATGCTCCCTGATG